CTCAGAGTCCAGCAAGGTGGTCAGGTCCCAGTGACCCCGTCCGCATTCCATGCTGCAGGCTGGAGAAAAGCAGGATGAGGAACAGGAAACAATGGGCAACCAGGGCCGTGATTCAGGCTGGGAGATGCCACACAACATATCTCGATAGCCAGAACTTAGTCACACGGCCGCACCTAGCAGCAAGAGGGCTGGGAAACCTATTCTGTGTGCTGGGTGGCTGCATAATTAAGAAAAAGAGAAGAGATATGGGGGAGGCAGCAGCCAGCACTGTCTACACAGCAGCCCCACAATCTCCTCCAGCTTTAACACGACCGGAACGGAATCAACCACCTGCCACCGACACTTCCGTCTCCCTCAGAGTCTCTGTGCCCCCCACAGCCCAGCACAGGGGCAGTTCCGTGGGGCAGGGGCTGGCAAGGAGAGGTGTCACCAGAGCTGCGCGAAGGGATGAGCAGAGAGAAAGTTATTCGAAGAAGCTGAACTCCTAGACCAAAGACCCCGACCAGAGGCACCCAAGTGGAGCAAGTGAAGTTGGAGCTTCCTGAGCAAAGGGCCAGGGCGCCTGCTGAGGTAGGAGACAGAGATAGGCTAGTCCTGACCGGTGTGGCTCAGGGCATTGGCCATCGCCTGCAAACCAAAAGGTCGCTGGTTTGATGCCTGGTCAGGGCACCTGCCTGGGTTGCGGTCCAGGTGCCCTGTTGGGGGTGTGCAAGAGGCAACCGATTAATGTGTCTCTTACACATCGATGTTTCTCTCCCTCACTTTCTCCCTCCTTTCCCATCTCTCTAGAAATAAATAAATAAATATTTTTTAAAAAAGAAAGATAGGCCTATATATGAAAGCGCCAGGGACAAACACACCCAGCCCCTCATCCAGCGAGCGGCTGACCCTGTCCCCTCCATCCCACCTCCTGTTCCATCCACCAGCCGGGCCTCCACCCGCACTCTTTCCTCCTCCTGCGTCTGCATGAGGGTAACTCTCTCAGGCCTCCTTCGAGGCTCAGACCAGGGTCACCTCCTCCAGGAAAGGTTCCCTATGTCCCTTCCAAGGGCTCTAATAACATCCCACTGGAGAAGGGGCTGCAAGGGGGGCAGTGTCCGTGCAGAGTTCTGAGAGAAAAGGGCAGTTCTGGTGCTTTGGGTGTTGCGTGGGGTGGGGTGTGGGGCAGGGTATGAAGGAGGCTCCGCAGGAGTAGAGACCCCAGGGCCTTCTTTAATATGAAGGAGGAGGTACCAGCTGCCCCTGCAACCATGGAGGTAGGGCACCACTGAGGCCGAGCCTTGAACTCCTGGCCATAGGCTGGGCCTCCCACATTCTCATCCCCAGTGAGGGAAATCATGCAGACGGAGGCTGTGAGCCACCCAGAGGAAGTCCACTGGGGCGGGGGCAGGCGGAGTAATTCCTGGAAGGAAGCTCGCGCACCTCAGGAATCTAGTAGAGGAATGCTCTAGAGGCCTCTGTCCCAGGACCCCCCACCTCCTGCCCCCAGGAAGAGACAGGCAGTGCTGGGCCGCCCTGCAGGGGTTCCGCCTCTGGGCTCCCGGGAACCGCCCTCCCTTCACCAGCCTGCCACTACACGCGGCACAGGCACGAGTGGACAGCCCGCTGGGTCTGCGCCCTGTTCTCTCAGTCTCAGCTTTCTCCTTTACAGAATGAGGATGCTCCCCGCCGCCCCAGGCTGTTGGGGCAGCGGGAGGAGCAGAGTAAGGTGCCCAGCTAGGCACCAGCACACAGAGACACAGTCTGCTGGTGAAAAAAGCCTCTGCCTCCCGAGGCGGCTGCGGGGGCACCTCCTTCCCGTGCACACGGATTCAGGGGTGTGCCCGCACGTGCGCGTCCGGAGCTCTGGGGTAGAGCGAGCAGCAAGGCTGAGGCACGAAGTTTTCTCCGTGGCCCGTCAGCACACATAAGCTTAGGTAGGGGATGACACGTCCTAAAGAGAAACGGCAGCCTCTGCTCTAAAACTGCCACCAGGCCAGTGGGCACCTGAAGCGGAAAGTCTTCCTAAAAGCCCCACCTGGTGGTGACCAGGGCTGGGGGCTCTCTGAGAAGACACAGCACCCACGACAAGACCCAAGGGCCAGTTTCTCTCCCAGGGCCCAACGGACAGAGGGGTGTTGTCTCAGATCAGGTCAGGACTGAGTGCTGGCCCAGGTGGAACAAAGGGTCAGGAGTGCAGAAGGCAGGTGTGCTGGAGGGGCGGGAGAGGGGCGGCCCTTTGCCCCCCCCCCACTCCCAGGCAGCCACTGCATCCCTCCCAGGCCTCGCCCGCCCCTGAAGTGAATGGGAGGACTGCCAGCCCCCACCCTGCACCGCTGCACACTCACAGACAGACAGACACTCACACTCAAAGACACCAGATACAGTGACACGCATTAACTACGCACAGTCAGACACCCCAAGAGACACACAAAACCAGACACACAGATACACACAGTCACAGACACACAAACACACCCACACACATATAAACACTGACTCAGCAACAGACACACACGCTCGTACAGACACACGCGGAGCGGCCAGTGGAGGCTGCTGCTTGGATACCTTTGCTGGCCTACTGGCCAGGTAACAACAACCAAAACTGTCTGGTGCAGGCCCTGACTGGTGTGGCTCAGTGGGTTAGGTTCTCTCACAAAGCAAAGGGTTACCGGTTCGATTCCCGGCCAGGGCACATGCCTGGGTTGCGGGTCGGTCCCCAGTAGGGGCACATGAGGGAGGCAACAATTGATGTTTCTCACATCAATGTTTCTCTGCCTCTCTTTCTCCCTCTCCCTAAAAATAAATAAATAAAATCTTTAAAAACCACGAATGCAGTACACCTCCACTGACAACCTCCTCACTGGTGGCTCCGGGCCAGTGGTCCTGACAATGAGGACAACAAGCCTAGGAAAAGTGACATCAGCTGGGGAGCCTTTTAGGTGAGCAGAGAGGAGGAGGGAAAGGACTCCTGGGAGGGAAGAGGCCCCCTGCAAAGGGTTCGGGGTGGGAGGCAGTGTGGTACTCAAAGAACTGGGCAGGCCTTGCCCTCCGAGGGGGTGGGAGGAGCGGACAGGAAACCAGGCACCTGAGCAGACAGCTGGGGCTGAGAAGCTGCCCTTGGCCTCCACGGGTGTCCAGCCTGAGCCCCTCTGGGGGCACATTTGGTGGAGGGAAAGGGGCCCCGGCTAGGGAATACCAGAGCAAGGAGGTCCTGGGGGGCAAGGTCAGTCAGCTGCCTTATAGGAGCCTAGCCAAAAGGGGTCTCCACCCTGCAAATCCCCTTCTTGGAGGCCACAGCCCAGCACCGCCAAGAGGGCCTGTGCTAGGTCGGGAGGAAGGCTGCGAGCCCCGGGAGGAAAAGAGCTGCGTGCTGCTGGTGCAGGTGCGGTGAGCTCTGAGTGAGCCCCTGGCGGGGAGTGGGGCCCCCGCCTGTGAGTACCCCTCCCTCCCTGCCCCAGACTCCAGCAGGGGCCGATCTGGCCTCAGATCCAAGGGCCTTCGCCCTCGATTCAGCCTCCTGTCTCTGACCCTAAAAGACCAGGCTAGGGATCGCAGGGTGGGTGGTCTGGGTCCAGGGACTGAAAGGGTCTTGGACAGGGTATGGCGAGAGGTCTGGGGTGGGCTTGCCCTCCCCAGCATAAGGGCCCTCCCGGAGGGGTTGGCGTCAGCCCCGAGGCGGGCCTGTTGGGGAAGGCAGGGGAGCCCCTCCGCAGCTGAGCCGCAGGAGGCCGACGAGGGGTATGGAATTCCTCCTCCTCTGCTTCCACCTCCCCTCCTCACCCTTCTCACCCTCCTCCCCGACCCCACCCCCCAGGGCTGCTCTGGAGCCGGGCCGCCAGGCGAAGGGGAGGCTCAGGGAGGGGCCCTGGACGCCGGGCTAGGCTGGGCCCCTCGGCGGAGGCCCCGCGCAGTCAGGCCCCGCCCCGGCCTCGCACATCTGGGCTGAGAGCGCGGGGCCCACCCGGCGGCGGAGCCCGAGCGGCCATCCGGCCTGGGGGAGGGGGCGGCGGGCGGGGTGGGCGGCGCGGGGCCCGGCGCACGTCGAGGGCTGCGGCCGCCGCCCAGGGCGCTGCCACAGGCTGCGGGGCGGCGACCGAGGCAGCAGGACCCAGACTGCGCTGTCGGGAGGGCGGAGGTGAGTTCTGGGGTGAGAGGCTGCGGGGCTCCCAGAGAGGAGAAAGGCACAGAGGTTAACCATCCATCCCATCCTGGGCTGTTGGCTGAGACCCCCGCCACAAACCTCCTGAACTTGGGGGGCCGGGTTGGGGACAGGTCCGCAAGCTCCTCGCTGGAGCGGGGCTGCGACTGTGGGCTCCCATCCAGACGTTGGGACCCCCCACACACTCTGCAGACAGTGAGGGGCTGGAGAGACTCCTGCGCTGTGGGATGGGGGTGGGAGCTGGAGGCTGCTCCAGGGGGCCTTGTGGAGGGCACGTCCCTATACCTGGGATTGCGTGTGTGTGTTGGAGAAGCATCTCGGATTGGGGGTCCCAGGGCCTGTGGTCCCAGAAGTTCCAGAGCGGCTGGATGGCCAGGGTGCCACAGTACCAGACTGGGGACTGGCCTTCTGACCGGGACCTCCAGTTTCTCTCTGCGAGGCTAGCTTCCGGGTCCAGGTGGGCTGGGGTCGGGGCTCCCCGCAGGACCCGGAGCCTGTCTGTGCAGCAGGCTTGTGGGGAGGGGGGAGACTGAGGGGGAGTGAGCTCTGAAACACCGACTCCCTGTGAGCGCAAAGGCAGCTCTGGAGCCCCAGAAGGCGAGGGAGGTGATGGGGCACCGATGGGGGGACGGTGGGAGGGGCTTCAGGGCCTGGGCTCTGTGGGACAGAGGTTGTTTGTGAACCGGCTGCTCCCATGATGAGGACCCATGGGGGTGGAGCAGGATGTATGGAAAGAAAAGGCGAGGACGGGAGGGGCCTCGGGAGGCCATTCCTGTCACCCCTGCCGCAGCACAGGAGGCAGCCCCCCACTGGTCTCTCTTCTGGAGGGCTCCTCTCCAGAGACAGGTCACAGCAGGCTTTGGGATTTCTGATCTGCCCCTTGGGCCTGGTTGACCCAATCTCTGGCTTGAGAGAAATGCCTGTGGCCTCTCTTTGCCTGCAGACAGATTCCTGTTCCATCGAGGGCTGGCAGGAGGCTGAGCAGTGGGGTGGGTGAGGCTGGAAATCTGTAGGGGAGACAGGGGGGCTGCAAAGATCTTCCTGCCGACGATGACTGGGAGGAAGATCTCACAAGCCGAGGACAGGTATGTGTGTGAACGGCAGCAACACCACATGCGCCCAGCGCTCTGGGGGGCGTAAGTACACAGCCTTGACACCCCATCTCAGGAATGGATCCTTGGAGAATTCTCTCCATCAGGCAAGACGTCCTAGGCTTTGTGATTCTGGGGCACACTCTAGGATGGGAGTCTCCAGTTTTGAGTCCCTACTAAGCCACACCCAATGACTGATAGATCATACCTATTGGGTAGAAGTCAGTGCCAGGAGTCAAGGTGAAGCTGAAGATCAGAGGTGGATATGAGGTCGAGGGATAGGGGTCATCAGCCCATGGGCAAGGATGGGCCAGTGCATGGGCAGAGTTAAGGATCTGTGTCTGTGGGTAGGGCAGGGGTCAGGCTGGAGTCAGAGTCTGACCTGTGCTTGTAGCCAGGAAATGAGTCGCTTTCTGTGTAAATCAAACTGCCCCACCCAATTTTTCTCGAACCCTAAGCATCACCAGGCTGAAATTAGTGGGCCCCTGGGGTAGGGTCTACCTCACTCTATTTCCAGCTGCGGACTCTGCCCAGACATGGCTTTTGGGAGCTGAGGTTGCCCTGAGCCCCGTTCTGCTTAATCGTTTCTGGGCGCGTGTGCATGGGGGGAACGTGTCCTGAAGATGGACGGGCTGCCAACCCTTCTGCCCCCACCTCTCGAGGAAATCAGCAAGATCCTCCTTCTTTAACACCAACAGACTCTGGTCTTCCCTCTCCCTAAAGAATGCAGAAGGACTGTAATAAAACTCTCAAATAAGACCAACATCTGCTGACAGAAAATTCAGAATCCACATCCTGAAGGGAAGGACCACATCGCTCCAACTCCCTACCTTTGGTCAATCACCTTGTTTACCTGGACTTAATCCCCACGAGCCCCCTGCATGACCCACTTTGCAGGAAAGGCGCTGGGGCTCAGAGAGGCATGGGATGCACCCCATCCAGGCGCCCAAACAGGCCCTTGTCAGCCCTGAGACCCCAGTGTAGGGCACACAGTGAATCACACACCCAGAGATGGGGGGTAACTGGACCAGCTTCAGACGGCTAGGGAGATGACAGGCACCCAATTAAGATGTGGAATCCAGCTTAGAGTGACGGCTCCTGCCTCTTCTTTCCTGGTAGTTGTAGGCTGTTTCTCCTCCAGCTACAATAGCTTTGGTCCAGAAAAATCTATTCATTCATTGACCGAAGTATTTCCCCATCACTTAGCTCGGAACCTGGCACAAAGAAATGCTCAATAGGTTGTTTTCATTAAAATTTTTATTTTATTTTTTGACAGAGGGGGAGGGAGAAAGACAGGGAGAGAAACATCAATGTGTGGTTGCCTCTCGTGTGCCACCCATTGGGAACCTGGCCCACAACCCAGGCATGTGCCCTGACTGGGAATTGAATCCGTGACCCTTTGGTTCGCAGGCTGGCGCTCAGTCCACTGAGCCACACCAGCCAGGGCAAAATGCTCAATGAGTTTTGCTCAAGAATCAAAGCAATGTACAAATAAGGCTGCCAGCTTCTCCCTTGTGGCCTAGATTCGATGTATGCTGGTAAATGTTTTACAGTCAACTCTGCAAAAGGGAGAACAACCTGATTTGTAGTGTTTGCTCATTTCTTTTTTTTTAATTTAATTTATTTATTTTAGACAGAGTGGAAGGGAGGAAGAAAGAGGGAGAGAAACATCAATGTGTGGCTGCCTCTCATGGCGCCCCTACTGGAGACCTGACTTGGCCAGCAACCCCAGCATATGCCCTGACTGGGAATCCAACCGGCAATCCTTTGGTTCTCAGGCCAGTGCTCAATCCACTGAGCCACACCAGCCAGGGCTGCCCATTTCTATGGTGTAAATGCTCCCAACATGGCTGATTTCAAGCTACCAATGTGATGTCAATGAATGAGGAATTGGAAAGAGATGTACAGAATCTGCTTCTACCAGTTGGTGGCAACCAGCTCCAACACACCACTCCATCACCCTGAACTGGGCTCTTGTCCCTGGCTCTCAAAGCCTATATCGACCCTGTCTATGCGCTTTCCCTTTTCTCAGCGTCACCCAGCTGCTCTGTGAGTGCCCAGGACCAGCCCCTATCTTTCCCCTGACTCGGAATCTTGGGCACCCAAGTGTGCGTCCCCAGTGCTAGCAGGCTTGAGCGTGTCTGTAAATATCCATGGTGCCGGCCATGTGGGAGTATCCTGGACGTGTCTGTGTGTGACGGGACTGAGTGTGTGTGATCTGTTTCTCACAAGAGCGGATGTACGAGTGGGGGGTGGGGCGCAGGTGACAGTGCCCAGCTCAGTGTCACTGTTCCATTAGCCAAACTTCCCTGTCTGGCCACTGGATGCATAGAGGGAGAGTGGGCTCTGGTCTTCTTTTTGTTCCCCAGGTACTGCGCGCACGTCAGCTGCAGATCTCACCTTCCTGGGAATGGCAGCTCCCTTCTCCTACCCTTGCTCGCTCCTTACCTGACTCCCACCGCATCTCCATGATTCCACAGAAATGTGGCCCTGGGCAATTCAAACAGGTGTTGCCAGTCTCCTGGAACAACCATGATTATCATGGAACCACCACAGGCGTCTTGGTCTCCTCAGCCCACCCACCTTCCTCAAGTCAGCCTTTACGTGAGGGTTCCCTTCCCTTTCCTCTCCGCACTCTGCTGTCTGCCAGTGACCCCCAAACGCGTGTCTCCACCTCAGCTCCTCCCTGACCTCTAGATCACGTATCCTGGCTACTTGGTCTGTACTGTGCCCCCAGGACTTTCGGAACTGCACCCAGAACAGGCCCCTCCCCCCCTGCGCTTCTCCAGTGTTTTCCATCTCATCACCCACCTCCCAGTTTGAACCAGACAGTGTCATCCCTGACGGCTCCTTCTTCCTGATCCCGCATATCCAATCCAGCCATCCTCTGTCAGCCCTGTTGGCTTCAGTCTCCGCTTCTGTCTCCAGATACACAGCCATAACCACCGTCCGTCGCCTGGAGCCCTGAGTGGGCTCCTGCTTCCATTTCTCGCACTGCCATCCACACTCCCCGTAACAGCGAGAGGGACTTTCAAAAACGCACATCTAGTCACGCCCCCACCTCCGCTCTGCCACTTCAGACCTTTCAAGGTTTGCTGTTGCCCTTGGTGTCAAACCAAACCTAAAATAGGGGCCAAGAGGGCCTGCCTGCAGGGTCGGGCCAGCCCAGCCCCTTTCCCCAGCCTCACCATGCTCCCCTTTCTGCCCCACTTGTTTCCAGCTGTGACCTCGATGGCATCCTTTGTAACCGCAAATTCGCTTGGGTGATTATCTGATTCTAACCAGTTTCCTCCCTGCTGGGCTGGGAGAGCCGGTGTCTCTCTGGGCCTCGGATGTCCCCCAGCACTTGGCGCAGGGTGGGCTCCAAAAACATTCAGGAGCATCCTGATTCCTGTGAAAGGCACCTGTTTAAAAGACCTTTTTGAGAGAAGCTGGGCCTGTGGGATGGGTCATTCAATGAGATTAAGGAATTGTCGTTAATTATGTTAACACACGGCAATGGCGTACTAGCAATGCATTCGGAAGTCTCTGTCTGTTGGAGAGACATACCGAAGAATTTACAGGTGAAGCAGCATGAAGTCTGGAACTTGCTTCAAAGGACTCCAGCCTAAAGTAAAGAAATAAAACATTCAGTGAGGGAGCAACGGAACAAATAAATGCCATCCTGCATGTCTGTTCCTGTTCACAGCCACCGGGCCTGGAAAGATGCTGGCCGTCCCGGATCTGGGCCTGCAGGGGCTGTACATCGGTAAGAACCCCCCACCTCTGCCCCCACCCACCACCCCACTTGCCCAGCACTGAGATGCACCCCAGTCCATACAGGGGTGCCTGTCCCAGAGGTTCTTGAAAGCATGTGTGTGTGCAGGGAGGGTTGCACACACAGGACTGCATATGTAAGTGTGTGCATGTGTGTATGCTTCACACAAGCATGCACATAGGACATAGCTATTTGTGGGGCCCCCTGTGCATCTGTTAATGTGTGGAGCAGTTCTGTGTGCAAAGGACTGCATGCATATGCATGTTTTGTGCAGGGTCTGGTGTGAGTGTGTGTGTGTCTGTCTGTGGGCAGATTGCTGTGCTCGGGGCCTTGAGTGAAAGTGCATATGTCAGCAAGCAGATCTGTGTCCACAGAACTCTCTGTGAGTGTGTGCATCTGCCTGTGGCCTCTCTGCAGGCGTGGGAAGCCAGGAGGCAGGAGGGACACTCCTCAGGAAGTCCACTCACAAAGACCTGGTGGGCTGGGCCTTCCTTCCTGCCTCCCTTCCCAGGCTCAAGCAACACAGCGACTTGGCCCCTCAAGCTGGAGCTGGTGGCAGGGCCTAAGCCCATGCTGGCCACCCGAGAAAAGGGAACCCTGAGGGTGTGACCACCATGTCCCTGCCCTCCCCAGCACCCTAAGACAGACTCCAGCTCTGTCCAGGCACTTTGTAGAGTCCCCCACATTATCAGCCCCTCGCATATGTTCTCAGGGTTTCCCTACGCCAGGAAAGACTGGGAGCCGTCAGGGCCACACACCAGGGCAGCCGCTGAGGGAGCACAGGCCTTGAGCCTGGGTCGGCCTGAAGCCAGACAGACCAGTTGGCTTTGTCCCTGGGTCTTCATGCCAGACCCTACCCGCCTCCCTATCCCCATCCGAGAATCTCAGGGCAGCCCCAGTCTTCCTCCCAGAGGCCCTGAGCAAAGCCGGGTGTGGTGGTGACGGGCCACTGCCCACGCCTCGGGGATGTCTAGCCAGGCAGACCCCTGAGCTGCCTGAGCCTCCAGTCTAGGCTTTGAGCTGCCTGATGGGGACTGTGCTGCTCCCTCCCAGCAAAAACCCAGCTCAGCCTGGGCCTGTGAGGGGGTCTCGGGGCTGGGGGGCCTCCTGCCCCTAATGCTGACTTTGGGTGTAAGGGACGACTTGGGATCCACTTCCTACTTTTGTGGACACCCCTTAGGGCCGGAGGAGGTGCTGCTTCACCTTCACTGTCCCCAGGCAGCCAGTGGGGCCAGCCCGTCCTTGGCCGTTGGGGGCGAGGAGAGAGGGCTGCTCCCTCAGGTTCTGACTGGAACCCTGAGCAGTTGGGTTTGAAGTTCCCCCACCTTTCTGGTTTCTCCAGCCACCCCATCTCCCCTGCCCTTCTACCTTCACACTCAGTCTCCCACAACCCCACAGTGCTTCTCTGTTTCTCCCCACCCCCACTGTGTCTGAGAGGTGCTGCGGGAGATGAGGAGCCCCCAAGTGAGCCATGGGTCGTCCTCCGGGGATGGTCGCCTCGAACTGATAACAAGCCCTCAGTCTGCTCCTGCCTCAGTCTCATCCTTGCTCCCCTCCCACCCAGTCCCCCTTCCTCAGCAGGGTCCCCCTCGCCTTGGCCCAGCACGGGCCGATGGGAGAGCCTCCCAGGCCTGGGTCTCAGCCAACAGCCCCCTACCCTGACTGTGACAGAGTGACTCGCCCTCTCTTTGCAGGCTCCAGCCCAGAGCGGTCCCCAGTTCCTAGCCCACCCGGCTCCCCAAGGACCCAGGAAAGCTGTGGCATTGCCCCCCTCACACCTTCTCAGTCTCCAGTAAGCCCGGACTGGGGATCTGGGTGGTGGGTGGCCTAAGGGGCATGGGGGCGGGGGGAGGCGGGCTGGTGCTCCAGAGAGCAAGGCCTGGTGTCTGGCACAGCCCTGGCCAGGCCTGGGGGACCACGGGGCCTCCTGCCCCAGCCCACTGGGGCTCCCTGCAGAAGGGTCAGTCTTAAGTGACCTTGGACCCTAGGGTAACAGTTGTACTGAGGTGAGCCCCACATGCTAACACCCTGACCTCCCCCTCCAGGATGACATCCAGAGGCCATTGCAGCTGCCTCCCGGGGCGGGTGTGTCTCTGAGCACGTAGTTTTTCAAGGTCTGCATTGGGCCCCCCAGAGCTGCCCCCCCTCCTGTTGACCATAGCCCCACCTGAATACAGGTTATATCTGGGGAAGAGGAGACATGTTGCTAAGAAGATAGTTTGGAAATTACTTGCCTGAAGTATCCAGGACATAGCCCTCCCCAAGCTCCCTGGGTCGTCTCGCCCCAGACGGCCTCACCCTAGTTATCCAGCCTGGGGACCCCTTTGTTCTCAGGGAGTCCAAGCCTGGCCTAGAGGAAGGCAGGGACCACTGTGGGGCATGTGCACAGGGCCTCTCGACTCTGAGAGACAGCCTGGTTGTGTCGCTGTGGCCACAAAGAGCAAGAGGGTCAAATACACACTGGTCCCTGTGCTGTGAAGCTGTCAGGAGGAGCATAATCGCTCCCAGCTGGGCCCGGCCGTGAACGGGCGTGAGATGGGGGTGGGACTAAGGCAGTACCGACAGAAGTTGGGCAGAGAACCAGCAGTAGGGAAGCAGGGGCTTGAGCCAAAAGCTGCACAGGGCTACCTGAGAGGCAGCTGGCATCTCCAGAGGTCAGCCTGGAGCCTGAAAAGGGGGGGAGCCCAGGCGGCTGGGCTGGCGGGGCGAACCAGGGCTGGTCTAGATCATAGCCAGGGCAGGGCGGGGCTCCCACGGACAGTCAGCCTGGCCCTTGGGCTGTCCTTGACTCTAGGTCTTGCACTTGCAGAAGCCGGAGGCCCGAGCCCCCCAGCAGGCCTCCTTCTCCGTGGTGGTGGCCATCGACTTTGGTACCACATCCAGTGGCTATGCTTTCAGCTTTGCCAGTGACCCTGAGGCCATCCACATGATGAGGTGAGGGCCACTGGGCTCGGAGATGGGGGTGGGGGGCGACCTCACACTTGCCATGGGCCTGGTCCCAGAAGTATTGCCACTGAGGAGACATGGGGCACCCTTCGAGCTCCCCCACTCCAAATCTAGGCTCCCTCTGGGGCGCCAGGGTGGAGGGCGGCCCCAGGCCTGGGCCCTCAGCTTCTACCGGAGCAGCTCCCTGCCCTCGGCAGCAAACGTTGGGCTCTGCTTTTGACCTGAAAACAATTTCTTGAACTGTAACAAACATAGGGTAAAATGCACAGATATCTGGGCTCGTATATAACACACACATGTATGTATATGTGTGGGTTTTTAATGCTTTTTAAAAAGATTTTATTTATCTTTTAGAGGGGAAGGGAAGGAGAGAGGGAGAGAAATATCAATGTATGGTTGCCTCTCGTGGGTCCCCTGCTGGGAACTGGCCTGCAACCCAGGCATGTGCCCTGACTAGGAATTGAACTGTGATCCTTTGGTTCACAGGCCCGCGCTCAATCCACTGAGCTACACCAGCCAGGGCTATATGTGTGTATTTTTAAATAAAAGCGGGTTATTATACAGTTTGCCTTATTTTAAACTTTCAGCACTGTTTCTGGACGTTTCATGTCCATACGCAGAGCTACTGATTTCTTTTACAGTTGCCACGTGCTTCACAGTGTGAATGTGTTGTAATGTATCCATCCTTCCACCTGCAGTCTGCGGGGCTCTCTGATTTCTCACTGTTACAAACAGTACTGCAGTGAATCTCCTCCCTGGAGAACTGGTGCTGAGATTTCTGTGGGGCAGATTCCCAGGTCCGATACTGCAAATGAAAACCAAGGACCTGAAGGATCAGAGGGTTAACTGGCTGACTCAAGTCACACGGTCATTTTGAAAGAGGTGTTCGAAAAGTCTATTCTGATGTCGACTGCTGTTCAAACACACATTTCTTTGAACACTCCCTCCAGACCTGCCCACTTGGATCCTTTGAATGTGTGTTACTGGGGCTGCAGCCAATAGGTGGAGCTATAGAAGACCCCAAAGCTCCCAGCCCAGACTGGAATGGTGGATCCGGGAGCTTCCCTGGGGCCTGGGAGGCTGGATGGAAGGGTGGATGGAGAGACAGACAGAAAGGTCATTGCCCCAAAGATGCAGGGACCTGACCTTCATGAGTCTGGATTGTCGTTCCCCTTTCTCTGTTTCCTCTGCATCCTCATGAAGCTAGGGGGCCCTGAGCATTTATGGCCCTGCAGGGGTCAGCACACAGCAGCCAAGGCCATGCTGAGCCCCATGCAGGAGGCAAGGACACTGTCTCTGTCCTGTGCAGGGGACAATCATAGGAAGTCACTGGGGGACATTCTGGCCTCTCACCAGGCCCTGTCCACCCCTACCAGCCACCACATCCCATTATTTCTGTGTCCCTAATATTTCTGGAGTACCCATCCACTTCTCCCCATGGCCACCATCCTGTCTCACTTGGACAGTTTTTCTTCTCTGTCCTCCCTCCTCTCCAGTCTGCTGCTACATGGGGACCAGCGACCTTTCTAAAGGCAATTATGGTTGTGCCTTTTCACTCCCCAACCTAAAGCCCACCAAGACAGACTTCTGACCTGGCACTTGATGTTCTTCCTAGCACTCCTGTGTTTTCCCTGCTGCACACCGAGCTACCCTACAGTGAGTTCTCCTGTTCTCTCAAACCACAAAGACTTTCCACACACTGGTCCTTCTGCCTGGATTCCCAGCTCCTTCCCCAAATGGCCACAGCGGTGAGCTGGCCTAGACGGGTCAGGGCACCAGAGAAGGCAGAGGAAGGGGGGAAGGATTTTCTAGGCCAGAGAACTGGGCAGGGTGTTCTGGGTCAAGGTCTGGATGCACCTGCAGGCGTGAGGTTTGGAATCTCATTCAGGTTTTGGGGCGTCTGACAGAGGTGCAGTGAACTGGGGTACAGCTGCTGAGGTGGGTCAGGTAGGAATGTCATGAATGCCTTGACGAAACTTGGCTGTGGAAGACGGCCTTGGGCAGGACAAAACAGCTGGCTGGGAGAAGGCTGTGTCTCTCTGCTAAGCTGCTGGAGAGACACACCAGGAAGTCAGGCCCAGGCAGATGGATGGATGAAGGCTTGCTGCTCCGTGTGAAGAGTGCAGGGAGGTGAGGTCAAATGGTAAACCTCTTGAGGGCAGGAGCTGAGAGTGTCGAGTGGATTCCATAGTCCCACGGATATGGAGGGTCCTGTCAGAGCAGCATTCAAGGAGATTTAACTGGATGCTGAGCACCATCCTCCTCTTCACAAGCACCCTAAGGGGCAGGTACTATTATTCCCATTTCACAGGCTGGAAGACCGAGACTGGGGGAAGCTATGTGGCCTGCCAGGGTCACACATCATCACAGAGCCGTCATCCAACCATGCAAAGAGAGGGTTGCTGCTGACCCCACTGATAGCCCTGTGTCTCCACAGGAAATGGGAGGGCGGGGACCCAGGTGTGGCACACCAGAAGACACCCACCTGCCTGCTGCTGACCCCGGAGGGTGCCTTTCACAGCTTTGGCTACACCGCCCGTGATTACTACCACGATCTAGACCCTGAGGAAGCACGGGACTGGCTCTACTTCGAGAAGTTCAAGATGAAGATCCACAGCACCACTGTGAGTCACATTCTGGCTCCGGACCTACTCCAGACTGGGAAGCCCAGCCTAGAAGAGAAGGGGCAGGCCTAATGGAGGGTGTGCAAAGCTAAAAGGGGAGGGGCGGCAGGGTGCGGTGGCTAAGGGGGCGGAGCTTGGAAATAAAGGATGGGGGCGGGGCAGGGGATAGGGTTACAGGAGGGCGGGGCTAAAGGGGAAGACAGAACCAATGTGAGATTAGAGCCAAACTGGAACAATGCCCAATGAGGGAAGCACCAGAGAATGGGGTGATTTGAAGAGAGAGAGGTCGTCAGGAAATGGGGGCAGAACTATAGCCTCCTACAGAGTTGCCCTGTGTCCCTACCAGGATCTCACCTTGAAGACACAGCTGGAGGCGGTAAATGGAAAGAAAATGCCTGCCCTGGAGGTGTTCGCTCATGCCCTGCGCTTCTTCAAGGAGCACGCCCTTCAGGTGCGCGGCTCCATCGCTGCCCACTGCAGTCAAGGGACCCCCAAGTCCATCTTTTCTCCTTAGCCCATCCCCTGCTCATCTGATGGGTAGCCACTGTCAGAGGTCGTGTTCTCCACTCTCCTGCCTTCCTGTCTTGGACAGCCTGTATCAGGCATACAGGCGTTGGTGGTGGGAGTAGTGTTAGATATTTCCAGCTTTGCTGGGAAGCCCTTCCTGAGGCTTGACTAGTTCTTCCAGCTCCCACTGAGGGCTGAAGGCACCCCCTCTAGCCCAAGCCAGCTACTTCTCTCACTGCCCTCTCCTGCTCCAGGAGCTGAGAGAGCAGTGCCCCTCGCTGCTGGAGAAGGACACTGTGCGCTGGGTGTTGACGGTGCCCGCAATCTGGAAACAGCCAGCCAAGCAGTTCATGCGGGAGGCTGCCTACCTGGTGAGGCCATGCAGGCGGAACAGTGGGTGTTGCTCGGCAGGGCCCCAGGGAGGGCCCCATACACACCTTCATTTGCCCCACTCTTGGGCCCACAGATTGATTGTGTAAAGGCCTCCAGCCTTTCCCTGCTGGGCCTTTTGGAGGGTGTTGCCACTGCGGGTGGGGCGGGTTGCAGGAAGAGGGCTGAAGGGACAAGAGGCACAGCCCTGGCCAGCTTAGTCAGTGTCTGAAGTCAGCTTTCCTGAAAGTAGCTTTCCAGAGCCCCAGATGGGGATTCGTGTGCATCGGTCTATGGAAGGAGGGCTCTTGGGAGAAAGCCCTTGGGGTGAACCAATGGGGTGAGGAGGACAGGATGTGGCCTCAGCTGGAGTCTGGCCTCAGCCCGATCCCGTGCAGAGCTCTGGAGGGAGAACTGTAGCCTGAGGTTGGCCATGGTGAGGTGAGCAGGCTGGTTTTTTGTGCAGCCATATTGGTGTGTCATTAGTTACTGGGGCACAGGGGGAATCCTCCCCAATTGAGGTGATCCCCATTCAGTGGAGGGCAGCTGTGAGCCCACAGCAGCCGACACTCCCACAGCTGGTCAGGGCACGGGAACACCCATGAGCCAGCATCAGTGTGCTCAGGACCACCACTACCACCACCACCATGGCCCTGACCACTGTGAGTTCTTAAGCCCAGGAAATAGGACTATGAAACTGAAGAGAGGTGATCTGGGCCAGTGTTTGCTGGTTTCCTACCATGAGAGATAACCAAAGGCCTGGAGAAAGGATGAGTGCAGCTCAGGAACCCCCCTCTCCCTAGAGATGGGGGGTGAAAGGGAACAGAGCTTTCCAGAGCAAGACTCACTGCTTGGTCCTGACCCTGGGGCCTTGGGACACCCTTGGACCCACAAAAGGGATCTCAGGCCTGCCTATAGACCCCTTGGAAGATACCAGGGCCACCAACCTATACACACATACCCAGGGGTCAGGCACGACCCTGGTGCCTATGCTTGTCTCTGGAAAGAGCCAACCCTGAGCCCAGGGGACGTACCCCTGCAAAGACCAGCATGGCAGCAAGGCTGTGCCCAGCCAGCACAAGCACCCCTCCAACCTCAGTGCCCCTCCTCCTGCCAGTTTACCCGCTGTTTCCTCCCACACTGTTCCCGGCTGCCAGCTCAGGAAGGGCTGGCCCTGGGCAGGAAGTAGCAGTACCTACCCACCCCCTCCCCCACCCAGTCAGAATCCAGGGAATCCCACAAAACCATAAAGGGCTTTCTGCAGGGATTCCCCCATCCTGATGCAGGAAGTAACAGCTCCAAGTGTTCTTCTCCCCGAAACTGACCTGTCTTGGTGCCTGAAATGTCACTGTTAAGAGTTTCCTTCCTCCTACATTAGATTCCCCAGGAACTGAGTTCTCCTGGGAGTGGGGAGGGCTGTGGCCACTGCCTGACATGGCCTGGCGGAGGAGAATTCAGTGGGCTAAGGGCCCCCATCTCCTTTGAGTGTGGGTCTACCATTACTCACCCCTGCCCCATACACACACTGTGGAGAGTCTCCACTGATCCCTCAGCCAGGGCCCAGATGGCCAGTCCATCCTGCTCCTGTGAAGGGGACCTTGTTGCAGCCCAGGCCACCTTGGGCAGGTCAGAAGCACAGATCCCAGGCAGTCCAGGTTTTCACTCTCCAGGGTCTCTTCCTGCTGGGGAACCCCATGGTGTTCTTGGCCATGGCCGTGCCCTTGCCCAGCTTGGTCACAGGGTGAGTGCGGGCAGCTCCCAATTTGTGCAGATGGAGGGGCCTGAGAAGCCTAGTGTGAGTGGGGTGCGATGGAGGACGTGGGAGCCCCACAGGCCCTCGTCGCCTGCCCCGAGTGCCATCTTAGGTGTGACAGCCCATGGTGCTCCTGGCCCTGCCCACCACCTATCCCCAGGCTGGTCTGGTGTCGAGAGAGAATGCAGAGCAGCTGCTCATCGCCCTGGAGCCTGAGGCCGCCTCTGTCTACTGCCGCAAGCTGCGTCTGCACCAGCTCCTGGACCTGAGCAGCCGGGCCCCAGGCAGCGGGCGCCTGGGCGAGCGCCGCTCCATCGACTCCAGCTTCCGACAGGGTGAGCCACCGGCAGCCGTGGGCTTGGAGACAGTCACCCCTGAGGGATCAGAGGATCCCTGAAACCAGAAGCTCAGTCATGTCCTACATGAAGGAGAGGCTCCCCTACCTGGACAGGCCCCAGCTGAGGGCAGAGGCTTTACCTTGCCCTAGGGGAACACTTGTCTGAGGAGGGTAGGACTCAGCCTAGCCCTGAATCTGGGAGAATGGTGGGGTCCAAGGGCACTGGACAAAAAAGGAAGTCAGCCCCCACTCTGAGCCAAAGGGGAGGTCTGCAGTTTTCCCCTAAACAGCCATCGTCTCCTCCCCTCTCCTCCTGGCCCATCAGCTGTTCCCCTCCACCCCTGACATCAGCCCCAAGCTCCTGCTGCCGGGACCAGGCACTGAGACAGCTATAGTCAACCCCATTTACCATGACAGGGAGAGGTCCCAAGTCCTGAGCTCCCCAGGTCCCCCAAGGCCTACCTGCACACAAACACAGCTCTTCGAAACCCTCCTGACCCTGATTTCACCACAGCCTGAGCCCTGGTCCTACAGCCAGAAATACTTCCCCTCAGCTGTTGGTTATAGAGCCTGGGATCACCCCATCAGCTTTCTCCACACCCTTGGGGGGTCAGCGCTGCCCTCTCCCATTTAGGAGGGGAGCAGGAGTTCAGGAGCACGGATGCTTCAGGTGCTCACGGAAGGCATCATCAGGATGAGAACTGAGTGGTGACTGAGGCACCTCCTTCTAACCTTGCTGTCCTTTGACCCCCAGCCCGTGAGCAGCTGAGAAGGTCCCGTCACAGCCGCACATTCCTGGTGGAGTCAGGGGTCGGAGAGCTGTGGGCAGAGATGCAAGCAGGTAGGGAGATGGGGAGACTGGCAGGATGTGTCTTGGGCCCTATGGGACACCATATACTGATAGCAGGAAGGAGTCATTCACCAGGTTGCCTCCAGCCCCTAGAAATCCTACTCCTCCATCTGCTATACCTAACCTGGCATTCCCCTCACAGTCCGGTGCAACCCCACCCCACTCACAGCCTCTAACACCCCGAAGTCACTCTCTTCCCACAGGGATGTTCCACGGAAGGGGTTTCAGAGCCCTGGACCATTCCCCAACACACATCTTGTGCCCCTACCTGATGGCCTTAGGTTCAAGCACCTGAAGCTTCTCACACCTCCACATTGCCACCCCAAGCAAGACTCACGACCAGGGGCAAGGGTGGAGGCTGGTAGGGAGGGGGCCCAGGGCTGAGGATGCATGGCGGGCCCCGAGTGTGTGCCCCTGCTTGCTGCTGCAGGAGATCGCTACGTGGTAGCAGACTGTGGGGGAGGCACGGTGGACCTGACTGTGCACCAGCTGGAGCAGCCCCATGGCACGCTCAAGGAACTCTACAAGGCGTCGGGTGAGTAGGCAGGCAGCGCCCTTGATACCCAGCCCACCAAAGCCCCCTGGTGGCGGGGGTCTGCACTGACTTCCTTTTTACTTCCTGCCCCACCCAAGGTGGTCCCTACGGCGCAGTGGGCGTGGACCTGGCCTTCGAGCAGCTGTTGGGTCGTATCTTTGGCCAGGACTTCATTGCCACGTTCAAACGGCAACGGCCAGCAGCCTGGGTGGATCTGACCATCGCCTTCGAAGCCCGCAAACGCACGGCAGGCCCTCACCGCACGGGGGCGCTCAACATCTCACTGCCCTTTTCCTTCATCGACTTCTACCGCAAGCAGCGAGGCCACAACGTGGAGACAGCCCTGCGCAGGAGCAGGTGGGCTGGGAGGACCACAGGCTCAGGCAGGGTGTGCAGATGAAGAAGGCCCCTATGAGGGAGGGTGTGGGCTGCAGGGGGTATAGCTGTCTCAGTACCTGGTCTGGCAGGAGGAGTTCGGGGCTGATGTCAGTGGGAGTCAGCCTGATGCACCGCTTGCACACCTGTGGCCAACCCGGTGGCAGTGGGTGGGGCATGAGTAGCCCAGCTGGAATTCACAGCCCCAACTGCGCCAGAAAAATCATGGGCCCCAGGGAAAGGGCCAATGTCTATCTCCTCCCTGCCCCCCAGCCACACATGCACGTGCACACACAGACAGACACTGTCACACATCGTGCCAGGACAGGAGGCAAGGGGAGGCCCCTCTCCTGGAACTTTATGCCTGGAACAGAAGCAGGCCCTGACTAAAGTCCCTGAGAGGATGGCGCAGTGGGACCCAGGACAATGACGTGTAGGCCTGTGTCCCCTTCACCTGCAGCGTGAACTTCGTGAAGTGGTCCTCACAGGGGATGCTCAGGATGTCTTGTGAGGCCATGAACGAGCTCTTTCAGCCCACGGTCAGCGGGATCATCCAGCACATAGGTGAGCGCCTGAGCTTGGTCTTCCATTTACCCCCACATACACCCCCAGTCGCGGGAATAACTGTGGCTGTTAGTGCCTGGAAACCCACACATCCACACACTGGAATGAGGCCCAGAATCATTGGGGACACCTGGAGGGGTCAGTGCGTTGGCGATTAAGAGCTAGGAGGGATGAATAGTCTTGCCAAGTGACCGCTAGTGCGTGTTTCCAATTTATAGTGGGGTGATAATACTGGGTTCCCCAAACTTATCACAGGGAATAAAATAAGCTGAAGTATCTACAGAGTGAGCTCAATGTCTTGCAAGCAGTAGGCGTATCTTCTCAGATCCTCCATGTAGGGGGAAGGGTGTATTGCAGGGGCGACCAGGGGCATCCAGTGGATGCACTCAGTGTTTTATTTCATCAAAACCAGGCAACCGTTTTATAGTTGAAATGGCTATTTTCTAATCGCCAGGCAAGTGGAGGGGAGGTGCCCGCGGCCTCAGCAGCTTATGCGTCCCTCTCCTCCCCTACCCTCCCCTCATTCCTATCCCCTCTCTCCACCCCATCCCGCAGAGGCGCTGCTGGCACGGCCGGAGGTGCACGGTGTGAAGCTGCTGTTCCTGGTGGGTGGCTTTGCGGAGTCGGCTGTGCTGCAGCACGCGGTGCAGACCGCCCTGGGTCCCCGCGGCCTGCGAGTGGTGGTCCCGCACGATGTGGGCCTCACCATCCTCAAGGGTGCCGTGCTGTTCGGGCAGACGCCGGGCGTGGTGCGGGTGCGCCGCTCGCCTCTCACCTACGGCGTGGGTGTGCTCAACCGCTTTGTGGACGGGCGGCACCCTCCAGACAAGCTGCTGGTCCGCGACGGCCGCCGCTGGTGCACTGATGTTTTTGAGCGCTTCGTAGCGGCGGAGCAGTCGGTCGCCCTGGGCGAAGAGGTGCGCCGCAGCTACTGCCCCGCACGCCCTGGCCAGCGGCGCGTGCTCATCAACCTGTACTGCTGCGCCGCCGAGGATGCGCGCTTCATCACTGACCCGGGGGTGCGCAAGTGTGGTGCACTCAGCCTGGAGCTCGAACCCACGCCCACCGACCGTGGCTTGGCCGGTACGCCCCCGGGCCGCCGCGAGATCCGTGCTGCCATGCAGTTTGGCGACACGGAGATTAAGGTTACCGCCGTCGACGTCAGCACCAATCGCTCAGTGCGCGCCACCATCGACTTTCTTTCCAATTGAAGGAGGTGCCAGGCGGGCTCTGCCTGGCCCCGCCCTCCTGCCGGGGCAGCTGAGGTCGCTGGAGGGTGGGTGGAGACACATCCAGAGGCTCTGGCTTTGGGAGTGGGCCCTGGCCCGCTGACTGGAAGGCTGAAGGGCTCTGCCAAGGACTGAGGTCAAGGAGACTTGTTCAGCACTCCCACAGGGAACACGTGACTCCTAAGGCAGAATGTACCAGAAGACTGGCCCTGGCCTGAACTGAATGTGGGCGTGGGGGGTGGATGCGATTGGGAGGGTGAGCCAAAACAAGGCTGCTACAGGAGGACGGAGGTTTGCTGGGCCTGAAGCGCCAAGGACACTGATGAATGGACTCGGCCCACACAGGCAGCTGGGAAGAGTAGCCCTGTGCCACAGAAAAATGACGGGAAGCTGACAAGAGGGACAGGGGTAGCAGGCCCTTCCAGGGCGTGGGGCTGACACTCAAGTACGAGTGTTAAGTGGAGAAAGGGCAGTAGCAGGCCAACATTAGAGGGTATAAGGTGATTATGAGGGAATGTGGGGGCAGCATGCTGGGGGCGGGCTTTGCTTTAGAAGATATGACTCATCCTGGGAAGGCCCCTAGGCAGCCTGTGAATGACCCACTTGAATCTTATCCCAGCCGCGGGGGGGGGGGGGGGGCCGTGCATTAGGAGGACAGGGAACACGTAAGGACCAATCTCAGCTCTGCCAGTCAACTCAATGTGCCATTATGCCCACCCTAGCATGCAACAGCTCTACCTGCCCAAGGTGACAATAAAGCATTTATGCTGATACCTCACAAGAAGGGACCCCAGTGGTATAGTGGAGGAAGCCTGGGTTCCAGGAAGAAGGGAGAAAGCTTTCAGCTGTGCATGGGGCAGAGAACTGGCCAGAACTCCTGCAGTTCATAAGACAGCTCTCTGGCCTGGGCAGAAGGCCCCTCCCCATCCAAACTGCCTCTGCAACTATTCCCTAAAATGCCATCACCTGTAGGTAACTTTGGGGCGCTCTAATACCACACAGCGCCCTTACTTCCTGGAAGCAGCTTAGCCAGAATCGTTCCTTGGCCTGTCTTCGAAGGACTGGGTGTTCTCAGAGACCTGGAGAACAAAAATCCACTGGCCACTGGTATTCACTGAAAGTTTTATTTAAGTTTTATCTCAACCGGTTGTTTAAAAACTAAATCACACACACCTGGGGGGTAGGGGCTGGGAACTGTACCCCCCTCCAATTCTCCATGGGCAGCGGTGGGAAAGAGGGAGGGGGCGAGAGGTGGCTTAGACGAGACAGCAACAGCAGCAATGGGACGATGACATCAGAGCGCCAGTTCCGTCCTCTCCCAGGCCCTGGCTGGAGCTCCTATGGCTTGCAGTGCGGGGTGGGTTTACCCACCCCAGGTCCTCCCCTCCCCTGCCCCTCCTCAGATAGCTCCTTGGGGGCTCAACCCATTTCTTCCCGCAGGAGACTGAGGCACATGGAGAGGAAGAAGCAGGAAGAGGAGAATGCAGGAGGGGCAGGAAGGTGATAACAATGAAGACAGAGGTGAGGCGTGGGTGAGGCCCCAGGACACCCCCTCCCACGCCCACCCTGGGGAGGCAGGAGGAAGCCACACCATCATGCAGCATTTGGGGAGCGGAAGTGGAGATTAAGGCTGAGGGGCCCCGAGGCGGGCCGGGGCATGGGCCTCAGTCGAAGCCGTGCCAGTCGCTGTGCTCCGAGTCGTATTCTAGCTCAGCGCCCACACACTTGACACCGTCCAGCAGCATGGGTGTGCCATGGTGCCGGTCTGCAAGGCAGACCGCAAGTCAGGATGCCAGGCCGGACCCCGGCGCCACCCGATCCAAGGAGACCCCTCCACCCTCTCTCAGGGTTCTACTAGGGGGCAGGGAGAAAGACACCCACCAAAGAGGTAGGGAACCCCAGCCAAGGTAAGGGCCCCTTTTTCACACTGGAGGAAGGCAGAATCCCCTTTTGGTGAAACCGGGGCTCCCCTCCCCTAGCCGGATGCACGCCTTGCACTCTCACCCATGACGCGTGCCTGCACCACCACTCGCACACAGGTGCCCCCGCCACCTTCGCAGGCGAGCAGCATCTCCTCCTTGAGGACGCCCTCCTTGTGCGCCGTGTACTCGCACTTGATGCTGTAACCTGTCCGAGCAATCAGCATCTCCATGGGCTCCCGCCCCTGCCCCCCGAACCCCGGCACTCACTGGCCCCACCACCACCACTGAGACTGGCCACCTTCTCCAAAGGAGCGAGGGTGGTCCAGGACCCATGTCCCCAAGGCAGGGACACAGGACTCAGAAATTTCCCATTCTTCAATGAGCGCCACAGGCCTTGGGCACAGGCCTTGGGCACAGGCCTTCAACCCCTGCCACATATTAAGGCTCCAAGGATCAAACTTAGGCTTCCAGGAGGAGGGCCTGCTGATTCCCCGAAATGGCAGGAAGGAGAGGGGGTGGGCAGGCCGGGACTGGAGCGGATCAGGTGGCAAAAGGAAAAGGCCGGAGGGGTTTTCTCAGGCCACTGAAGGGCAAGGTCATGAGGAGGTGGGGGGACATGTAACTGAAGCTGGGACTTCAGCATACAGTGAAACTGATCACCCAGCCTATGGAGGGGGCAGGGGTTGAAGCCGGCAAGGTAGGGAGAAGCAGCCCCCAGCCCAAAGCCCAGGTGGGTGCTAGGAGGGAGCCAAGCAGAGTTCCTGAGGCTCCAGCAGGTTTTTCCTTGAGGGACATGAGGAAGGAGGGCTAGGGGTCCAGAGCCAGTTCCTCAGTGGCTCCCACCATCCCACTGAGTAAACGGTCAGGCAGCGTGAGCCCGTGGACTTCTGTCTGGGGACTGAGGCCGGGGTCCCGGGACCTGCCAAGCTGCCCCACTGCAAGCCTGTGGAGAGGCATCATGTCCCCGACTGCTGCCTGTCCACACGAGATGGAGGGGAAGGAGCACCCCATGTTCTCGCTCCCACTCGTGCCCAGGCCCTGCTGGAGGGGGGCCAGCCTCCAGTGCCCCGAGCCGAGGACGCACCTTCCGGGACAGGCATGACGCTGAGGAGCTTGAGATGCAGGCTGGGGACAGGTGCTTCTCGGATGTCCTTGCTCAGCCTTTGTACCGAGGGCAAAGTGAAGGTAATCTCATACCTGTGCAGGATCTTCAGGAAGCCAACCTGCAGCAGGAAGGGTGGAGGAAGGAAGCACTTTCACTTACAACTCCCCCAGGGCCCACCCAGACCGTGCCATCTGTGGTCCTGTGAGCCTCTGCACCTGTTTCCTTGGGATTCCTGGGGGGGCCTGTATCCCCCTACCGCTCCCAGCCCAGTGACTCCAGGCCTTTCCCGGGGACCTCGCCCCACAGCTGGGCCACAAACTCCTCAGTGGCCCATTTTATAAACAATAAAATGGAAGCGGGAAATGAGTGCTGGAGGCCCCCCGGTCAGTCTTGCCATGGGTGGCACATAGCAAGCTCCCAGCCTCTGCCAAGAAGGGACCCGTCCACCTTCCCGGAGTCCACAGTCCGGGGCAGGGGCACTGGTTCTTTAGTCACTCATGTGGCGACGCAGGGCAACACGGACTGCACAGGATGAAGGATGGGACAGAATTAGAAACAATGACACTAGATCAACCATGTCAGTCCAAAGCTGGCCCACAGGCCTGGCATCTGAGCATGGACACCCGCTCCAAGGTTCAGTGTGTCCAACGGCCCCGCTGCAGGGTCCAAGCAATTTCTGTTGTATACGGTGCTCGGCAACCAATGCCCTCTGGGACAGATGCCATCCTCGAAAATGCCAGTCATGTGAAGGGTCACAAGCTGGAGTGGCTGTTGAGCAGGTAGGCTGACCGGAGTGCCAGTCCAGGGGACACAGGGGTGCATGCCGTACCCATGGCTCACATGTACGTTTCCTCTCCTGCAATGTGGTTTCTCAGGCCGGATGGCCCTGTCCCTAGGAGCCAGTTGGGACTGGCTGCATGGAACATTTAGCCTTTCAATGGGATGGGGCTGAGGTCACTGCGTGATAAAGCCCAGGCCCTGTGGCTCCCACACTTTGCAGGTGCAAGGCACGCTTCTCTCGAGAGCTTTCTTCTAGACCTGCCAATGGTGACCCGGTGATGCAGCTGCGCCACTGGCAGAATTTTCCGGTGGAAGTACTCAGAGATGTGCAAAAGATATTCATCACTGCCCCATTTATAACAGTGAAAAATAGAAACAGCAGTGACACCAGGAATAGGGAACCAGCTAAATCAGCGATGACACATATAATGGAATACCAAGCAGTTGTAAAATCTTGTAGAAAATTATTTACTGACAGAGGCAGGAGATGGCCCGTAACAAAGGCGTAAGCAAAAAAGTGTTACACTGTGATAGCAGCTTTTTGTTTTTGGAAACAAAGCTATAAAAAAGGCTAAAATGACACATCAAAATATTAACCATTGTTATTGTGGGTTCCGTAACTGGGTACTTTTAAATTTTCTTAGAGTTTTTCTCTATGAGACATGAATGGATTTTGCAATGGGGAGTGAGGGACAGGGAGCTATTTTTTTACAGTTTTGTTTCATTCTCTTTATTCCCTTGGGGAGGGTGTCAGCTGTAGAAGAAAGAGCAAGGATTGGGCAGAAGCAGGTGTGAATCTGGGCCCTTCCTCAGGGCGGTGGGTCTCCAGACACAAGATCCTTCCCCCTGCACCCCCGGGGCACCCCCTGCTCAACTCTGGAGCCCTGGTTTATTGTCCAGCCCGAGGGCCTCACTCCCTGCCCCCCCATCCCCTCCAGAGACTTTCCCTTGTCCCTCCAAGTGGATGTGGGACCCGACAGTGTCCTAGCAGTTGGAGAAGCCACACCAGAGGGTGTGTGAAGTATGACCAAAAGAAAAAAGGGTGTGATCCACTGAGCAGAAAGTATGGGGGTGAAAATCAGCCAGAGTTTGGCAAAGAAGGTAAATAAAGTCACATCTTGTCATCGGCATAATTACCTGCATAACACAGATACATTCTTCCATTTTATTTTCACACCAAGTCTATGGGGTATGAATTGTCTTCACTACAAAGAACGCGAAGCTGAGGTGACCTGCCCAAGGTCACGGACCCAGACCAGCAGGCCTGGGCCTGAACCCAGGCCTGTGACATCACAGCCCAGACACCCACCTTCCATCGCTATTGTTGGGGTGATGCTGATGATAACAACAGTTCCTCCGCTCCCCTTACCTCATTCGGGGTGACGTTCTACCTGCATTCATCCTGTTGCAACCTCACCACTTCCTGCTTTACAGATGGGGAAGCCAGCGCCCCAGGAAGGAGAGAGGCCTAGGAAGCCAGCTTAGAGGGAATGGAACAGACGGGCCCAGGAAGCCAGGCAGGCACATACCTTGACCAGAAAGCTGCTGTCACTCTCCTGGGTGACCATGACCACCGAGTCATGCAGCTTCTCATCAAAGTGGACGTGGCTCTGGGAGCCTTCGGCATCGTGGCCTGCCGCAAAGCGGATACTCCGGACTCTGGGCTTGTTGCCTACGAGGAGAGTGGGAGAAGGTTCCAGGGACTGCAGGCTTCCCCTGCCCCCAAGAAATGACTCCCCCTTGTGGCTTCTCTGCCCCTTGCAATTGCCAGTGACATCACCCAGCACCCACTGGCTGGACTCCTTTCAGGGCTGGGCTACCTCCAA